ATAATATATAACACTATATGTTCTATATATTATCATGAATGAACTTTACATATTTCACGTTTCGATGAACTCTATAATACAAATATTTCAGAACAGACTTTCCAAGTTCTCAAACTTTTAACTGTAAACATGTCAATTACTAAGCTCAGTTTAATTCTCTTTATAGAGTATCTGCTCGTCGAGTACCCATAAACTGAATACGAATTGCTGTGCTGTTGGAAGCCTTTTTGGCTTTGACAATGTTTATTGTACTTACCCTTTGGCCTGCTGGTATCTTTAAGTTGAGGTGGCTGATAACGTTCTGCCTTTGTCCTTCATAACGTAGGCTCACATCCTCGAAGCTGATGTCACCTCGCTGTGGCCAGGAAATCGGAACGCTTTGGTCTGACAAGGAAAAAAAAAGAGAGCGAAAAGAAGTAAATATAAAATAAATGACAACACATAAACAAACAAAGAGCGAAGCGAATGCACTGAATAACTGCAAACAAACGCTCATATTAAATTTAGAGCCCGAATCGACAAAGCATGAAAATTGTGTGGCCTTTTTGCTCAACTATATATATATAGAGAGAGAGAGAGAGAGAGTTTTTGCGCCCGCAACTGTCAGTGGAATATTTGAAAACTCGAAATGAAAGCCAAAAAATGAAACCAGCTAAGCAAAAAGTGATGAGGGCATCGGCAACGGGCAAACAAAAACTTCCTGAAAAGGGTCTTCCAGATCATGGCACGCACTCGAGTGCCCTTTAAAGTCAACTTTCGCAAACACTCCCAAGTAGGTTCAAACTGTGGTAGAACGGCTTAGCCCGAATCCGATACGGGAATGAAAACAAAGCAGTGAAAAATAAAACAATTGAACAAATAATAGTTTATATTTTGTCGGAAGAGCGTCCAGCTGATAAAAATATAAAAAAGCTAATATAGCTTTTGAAATAGTTATTTAATATTAGAAAATTAATAAATAAAATAAAAATAAAAAAAAAATATTTAAAAATGAATATTTAAACTAGTTTAAGAAGCCTTTTGGAAGGTGAAATTATATGCACACTCATTGAACAAAAAAAAAAAAGCAAACTATGAGAGAAACATAGACTCTTTTTTGTTTCATTATATAAACCTTTCTTGACTTATTTTTTTAACTAATAAAAGAATTAATTTTATCTAAAATTGATAAAAATATGAAAGTTATTACTTCATTTGTTTTTTTTATCTTGTACTTTTTGATTTTAATAAATAAACTAAAGACGATATTAATA